TCACTTACTGTATACCCTTTATCATTTTAGATCTCAAAAACACTTTTGATCGAACAGTATTACACATTTGATTTAAAATTTCTAAAAATTCTTAAGAAACAGTTTATCAGCAGAGTATATTTCAAGAGCCTGAAAGTCCGTCTGTCTAGGTTTATAACACCCCATTCAAAGTCAAACTCTTACTGTATTTGCATGGAAATATGAATTATACAACACCAGTATTAAAAACTTGCCACACAGAAACCAGTGCAGTATTGACCTTTAAAATGTATTTCTTTAGGAAAGAGTCATTTCTTCTCCATTAGCGGTCTCACATGCACATGAAAACAGTTCAATTTGAACACCTGAATGTGTCAATCTCATCAAGGATGTTGGGCGGAGAAAATTCTTAGCATTGTTTCATCTTGTGCTTCTCAGTTAATTTGGGCAATGTTATTGAAATGTCTATAGCTGCTAGTCTTAAAACACTGATGCACAGACTCGAAACGCATGCACCAAAGTAAATGCAAAGATCCAAGCATTGCTGTTTGATGCAGACGCAGCAATACCAGTTCTCTCGGACAGCTGCACTGATCGTTGCTGTTGTTCAAATTTAAAGTGTTGCTCCATCTTGGGGAGTTGCTGATGTTCATCCTTTGCATTCTTTATGTAGCGTGGATAAGCCAAGTTGAAAACACAGTAAACAGCGAAGGATGTAATAATGTCTTTAAACTCCTATTCTCCAACACTTTGCAAAGGACTTTCAACCATCTGTAGAGTTGGGTATGGAGCATCATCATCATCCCACTGTGAAAGGAAAAAAAAAGGACATCAATAAACAATGTAAAATCTGTCAGAACTGCATAACATCTATCAGAGTATTACAAAGTGTTTAACCAACAGTACCCAAACCTCTTCCAGTGTAATTAACTTTCTCTTTAAGAATATGGGGGAGCAGAATTAGAGCAGCACAAAAGTCAGAATCTATTGCAAAATAAAATCATCCATTCATTTTTTTTATTTTCGGCTTAGTTCCTTTATTAATCTGGGGTCGCCACCGCGGAATGAACCGCCAACATATCCAGCACGCGTTTTACACAGCGGATGCCCTTCTGGCTGCAACCCATCACTGGAAAACACCCATACACACACACTATGGCCAAATTAGCTTACCTAATTCACCTGTACCGCATGTCTTTGGACTTGTCGAGGAAACCGGAGCACCCGGAGGAAACCCACACCAACATGGGGAGAACATGCAAACTCCACACAGAAATGCCAACTGACCCAGCCAAGTCTCGAACCAGCAACCTTCTTGATGTGAGGCGATCGTGCTACCCACTGCGCCACCGTGACACCCTAAAATAAACAAGACAAATAATGAAGTACTCTTAAATAATTAAATAAAATAAAGGACCTGTTTTTAAAATAAAGAAAAAAATATTGGAACGTTTAGCAAATGCTGAATAAAAGATATTGATGTATTTTTATGAATTACATTTTTTAAAGAAAAACATTAAGGAATGTTCTCTATATAAAGGGTTTGTATATAAGGCCTATGAGTTTGAACTTGCTAAATGCAGCTTGAAAAGGCACTTAATGATCCCATCCAAGAAATAAGGTTTTGATCTAGCAAAATTATTATTATGTAAGTTTTATGTTAATACCTGTAGTATCATCTGCAAACTTCTATTCTCTTGCTTTTTGTAGACTTTGGCCAGTGGAGATGCTTTTTTTTCTTAATTAAGCTTATGCACCTTTAGCACAAGCTGCCCTTGAAGCTCTGACTTGGTTGGAGATGGTTGATGAATGCATTCAGTCAGGTTCACCATGACTATAATAAACAAAAAGGAAATTAGGGATTCACTTTAACTAAAAACATTATCTAATATTCTTTGTTGCCATTTCCCTTTAGTTATCACTGTACAAATAGTTGTAAGCTTGAATGCACATACGTGTTCACCACAAAGCTTGAAAATTAAAATATTTTTACAATAGTCATAACATTTATAATAGTCATTTAATCCTACACTTAGGCTTATGCTGACATTAAACTTTTCATTTAAACTCAGAACTGATTTAAAATGTGTGATCTCACTGACAAGGGTAATTTTAATAAAGGGTCACACACCTTATTTCACTGGATACGCAGGACATTCGCATTACTCTTAAAAGATGATGCATCCTCACCAATTGCAGCAATCACCTATTGGATCAAATATAAGTGCAAAATAATGACAATCATAAAAAAATCAAATTTAACTTTAACACTTCACCTAACAGTTTCATAGAAAAAAGGAGATTAAATTTAAGATTGCACAATGAATTCCTGGGGAAAAAGTATGTATACACACACACACACACACACACACACACACACACACACACACACACACATATTGCTAAGTACATCCATCACTGATATCTCTTTTAAATTAAAAATTTCTACAGGATGATTTACAATAATATCTATACGGAGACCCGGAAGGGATGTTATAGTGACGAAAAAAATGGGTGGGAGAAAAAAAAACTGAGTGATAGTTAAACATATTTTTGAAAGTTTTTGCATTCCCTCGCAAAAATGTTTTGCGGTCTCTCCCAAATATATGTTTTGCCTTTCCCTCGCAAAACTTTTCGACAGACACTTCACTTCATTATATCCTATTATTAGGTATTTTCCCATATTTCTCTCATATTTTTAATCTTGAAAGCTTGTTGAAATTAATATAAGAATGTGTGCGTTCACTTTGTTTCAATTAAAGCTGTGCGTCGATCAGGGCCTCTCATATGCAACCTTTGAATCAGTGATTCAAAAATATATATGAATTCTAAAATTGAAATGTTGTAGTTTGTATTTTATTTTAAACAATTTTTTTGTTTAATATGTATTAAAGATGTTTGGTATATATATATATATTTATATATATATATATATATATTTATATTTTTTTTATTAATATAATATATATATTATTAAGTGACTATAAAGTTGTAATCATTATTAGGAGGTTAAGTCAATTAAAAAGGCCTCAAATTACAGCAGGTGAAGGTTATTGTGACCTTGATTAAGCTTTAACTTAAGACCTGAGAGTAAATCAGGCTAGTTTCCCAGCATAAGTTGCCAGAGTAACCGAGTTTGAACTATCGTAAATTTGATTTATGAAAAAGAATCGGACATTAATAAACCTGACTTACTAAAATAAGCCTGGCTTTTTCTGTAAGCTTGGTTTATGGAACTGGCCCCTGATCCTGATCCCCTATATGCGTCCACATGCAAGTCGACAAAGCTGAAGTTTATATCATATGGCTATGAAGCAAAAATGAGGAATAATGAGTCAGGGAGGTAACCAAGACTTTATAACATTAATTCTCAGCAATAAGTCGTGTGTAAGACAACAGATAATTCTATAAAACATACATTCTTTGTATTCTATAGAACTTTAATATTCATGCAAAAGTCTTTGAATATCCCTCCAGTTGTGTCTTTACATAGTTTTTCAGTTACATTTAAGATTGATTTCTGTTATTTATTTAGAATAATAGTTGTATACTAATAATGATATTAAAGAAATTGTTATATTTATTGAAAATAATAAAAAATATTTAATTTTGTCATTAATAATTATTTTAAATCTATATATTTAAAATATATATTTATATTGGGGATGGGGTATTATGGTATGTTTGGGGTGGATTCACCCAGGGTGCCATTTAAACTAGAACCGCCACGCTACCAAGACAATACAGGTAGTCTATATATTTATATAGACTTGCCATGTTGGTTTTAGATGTGTGAACTTCATTCTTTTTTTTAGTCCCTTTATTAATTCGGGGTCGCCACAGCAGAAGCAACAGCCAATTTATCCAGCATGTTCCACGCAGCGGATGCCCTTCCAGCTGCAACCCATTACAGGGAAACATGTGACTGAACTAAATGTAAACTGTTTTAAAGTGTTACATTTGTTAAATTGGCAATATGAATACGGACTATTAAAAGAATAAGCAACAATCATGCTTTGGTTCATTAATAGGTCTACAAAAAATCTGAACAAAAATATTTTTACTGAAAATATAGACTGAACCTTTACTAAACTACTTCTTTGAACTTTCAAAAGAATTAATCAAATAATTCATTCTTAAAATTGCATTACATTGAAACTTTAATTAAATTAAAGTTGTACATTGTTAATATGACAAAAATATTTTAAAAATACTTACCTTAAAACTGAAGTTTTAAACTGATGGAATGGTCACATATGGTTTATTTCTTTCACATTAAAAGACAGTATAACTGAGAATATGTAGTATGAAAATCATCACTACAGCTCATTCCTGAATAAGAGGAATAAGTCTTTTTTTAATTCTGAAAAAATATGCACAAGTAAGTGTTTATTTCATCATAATTTATATAAAAAATGTGAAATTAGGAAAAATATATATTTTGAAATGGGATTACACCTGAGACTATGGTGTCAATGCTAGTTAAATTATGGGCTGCAATATGAAATACGTTTGAGGGTTAAGAAAATGTTCTTTTCAAGAATAGGGTATGCACAGCTAGTGTTTCTTTCCATCAAGATAAACTTCCAGTGAAATGTTCCAGTTAATGTAATTAATAGATAAAAGATAATTAGTTAAATAGACTTCAGCATTCATTTACTGGTTCAAGTGTAAAATGAGATGAAAAGCCGTTTACAAGTACACACCTGTCAGGATTAGCAGGCCAGTGTTTAAACTCCATTGAAATCTCATTTGACCCAGGTTACTAAAAATAAAAAAAAAGTCCTTCTGCATACTTCCGAATATAACCTATTCTGCCATCAATGTTGGAGAAAATTTTTTGCATGGGGAGGAGTCATAAGTGTTTATTTTGTGTTTTAGGTAAACACAGACAGTCTGTACCTTACAGACTCTACAAATGTTGCTGTTTTCCCAAGCTTGGACTTAGTGGAGAGGAGTCACCATGAAGTTCATGGCTGCGAACCTGAAACTGCTACGAGTCAGCACAGTTTTTTATTTAGTCAAACAACTTCAAGTTCACCAGCAACACGCTTTGCACCACCACCTAGAGCTGGTAGTCAAAGTCAGAGTCAAAGATCATTTCAAAGGTAACCCCTTAAAAAAGTACTCATTTAAAGTGCCTGTGGAGATACACTAATTAAAAAAATAAGCATATTCATATATATATATATATATATATATATATATATATATATATATATATATATATATATATATATATATATATATATATATATATATATATATATATATATATATATATATATATATATATATATATATATATATATATATATATATATATATATATATATATATATATATATATATATATATATATATATATATATATATATATATATATATATATATATATATATATATATATATATATATATATATATATATATATATATATATATATATATATATATATATATATATATATATATATATATAT